GGGACGTATTTCCTATCTACCACCGTTTACTCACAATAAATATCTTTTTGTGTCAATTGCAGGGAAATGCGATGGCTTTCCGATCTGCTTTGCTGGCAGATCTAATGCATCTCAATTTTCTTCTGCAGTGGAAGGAGACAAGGCTGGAATGCCGGAGCGAGGAGGCCCTTGGCGTTCAACCAGCAAGGCAGGTCCTTCTGGAGATTGGCATGGCTTCCCAAGGAAGCAGACAAAATCCATTTCACTTAAGACCTTGTCAAGACGTTCCCCGATTTGAAGGGGAAAAGCAAGGATCCCAGACCTGCAGGGCCCTCTGGGAAGACGGGCGGCGAAGAGGGCAGGGTCCCCACCTCTCGCACCCACCCAAATAAGATTTCCTCTGCAGGGTTGTTGCCAAGCAACAAGCAGGCAAGGCATTTGCTCTGCCCTGCCAACACATACCCCCCCACACACACACACACCCCACATTTTAGGATTGCGTGGAGAAAGACGGGCTCCTGTTCGTTTGATCTGAGGATTGCGTTTGTTTTTTCAGCCTCTTCAAATAAACCACCTTGGGGTTTGCACCTCTGGGATGCAACCTCTCTGCTGCCAACATCCCAGAATGCAAAAAAAAAAAAAAAGAGAGAGAGAGAGAGGAGAGGGAAGGGAAGGAAAGGAGAAAGGGAAGGAGGAAGGGAAGGAGAAAAGGTAGGGAAGAGAAGGGAATAGAAGAAGAAAGGGAAGGGGAAAAGGAAGAGAAGGAGAAAAGGAAGAGAAGGGAAGTAAGGGAAGGGAAAGGAAGGAGGAAGGAGAAAGGGAAGGAAAGGAAGGGAAGAAGAAAAAGAAAGGAAAGGAAGGGAAGAAGAAAGAGAAGGAGAAAAGGAAGGGAAGGGACCTCCTATTTCAGGATGCTACAAGAATTTTCCAGAGGGATCAGCTCTAACGAATATTCTAAGCTGAATTTCCATGACCCAAACACGTTTTCAATCAACCTATTTACAATCAGTTTTGTGCTGCCATCTAGTGGTAGATGGGTGCCATGCCTCAGTCAGAGCCAAAAAAAAATACCCCTGCATTTTCCCCTTTTCAATCGCTGCGTTTTCAGCCCGAAAATACCAATAAAACTATTTAATTCTGGAAATACAGAATGCAGAAAGGGGAAAAGAATTCCCCTGTCAGCTCCACCCACTACTCTCTCCTACCAACAGTAAACTAAATTCATCCAGTCATTCGCTATTTGTCCTATAGGAAGTTCTCGACATACAACATAATAGGGACTGGAAAATCCGTTACTAAGTGGGGCAATCATTCAGAGAGGCATCAGAGGAAGACTTGTCCAGGCAGTCTCCAAGAATCAGACACAATGGAAAGGGTTATTTCTTTCTTTCTTTTTCTTTCTTTCTTCTATCTCTTTCTTTTTCTTTCTTTCTTTTTCTTTCTTTCTTTCTTTCTTTCTTTCTTTCTTTCTTTCTTTCTTTCTTTCTCTTTCTTTCTTTTTCTGATTTCACACATGGCAATCACAAGACTTCAGGATGCTATGAATGACATACGTGTAAGCTGGTTTGTCCAGCATCTGGATTGCAATTCTGTGACACAATCACAATGCGGCTGCTGTGATGCGAGGACCAGTCATAAGCCCCTTGTTTTGTATTAGTCATTTTCTTAGGGTATTATTAGCACTGTCATAACTCCAAACGATCGCTAAACAAACGGTCGTTAAATGAGGGAAAGAGAGAAAGTGTTTCCTTTCTCAGTTCTTCTCGCTTGATCTGCAATGCAGCCAACCGACGGTTACCCCTTTTCCTGCCCGACACATTCAGTCATTGCAAGCAGGCTGCGAGGGGCAATTTAGCAACCCAGGCCCTAGCCTAGACCTAATTCCATGTTAATGCGCTACCTTTCATGCTCCCAGGCTTAAAATAATAATAATAATAATAATAATAATAATAATAATAATAATAATAATAATAATAATAATAATAATAA